AATGCTTCCTCCCTCCTAGAGGATTACCTGCGCCGGGTCGCTGCATCTGAGCCAAAGCGATCCCGGAAAACAAAAGGAAAACAGAACAAGTGATGGTGTCGCCGGGGAGTTCCGCGTGCCGGCCGTTGATGCGGTGGGATGGTTACAGTTGGTGATGGGGTCTTACGTCTCGGGGGTAATCGCGTTCGGCACGCCAAACCGGACTTGGATCTACAGGTTGCAACTGAGCCACCGTACCGGCCGTACATGAGCACATCGTTGGTGCCGGGGGCCTTGTTTCTGTTTGGCCTTTGTATATCATGGGTTTTGTCGGGTTTTTCTTTACTTCACTTGCTCCGTGTCTCGGGACAGCCACTTTCTTATGGGGGGAAGTGATGTTGTGAATTCTGGTGGATCCAGTCTTACTGGAGATTTCACTTCATTATGTTGTACTCAGATATTGGGGTGAGAATTGGGTTTACTAGATACACTAGGGGATAGTGTGTCTATAATTTGATTTGCTGTTGTTTGGAGTAAATGAACACCTGACTATATTTGTGGTTCACGCTTCCAATGTAACATTCTGATTGAGTTCCCTGCTCGCTCTCCGCGTGCCCCTCGTGGGCAGGTCCTGGGGCGCACCCAATAGGGTGCGCAACAATGTGCATTATATAAGGGTGGTGGCAATAGTGTGATGGGTGATGTTGAGCGTGTCACCATTCTGCCACCCTTGGCAGCGTGTGTGAGGGCTGTGGGATGCTGTGGGCGCCGTGAGAGTTGTGTGGCAAGTGCAATAGAGTGTAAAGTATGCCGGTGGCTGGTGCTGTGCATGGGATAAAGGAAAATGGTGATGGCATGATGGGATATTGTCACTAGGAAATGCATATGTTGAATTCTGGCGAGTGTGGTGGATTCTGACGGGAAGGGGGAATGTTATAGGTGCAATGTGTGAGTTCGCAGTGTGGTAGGGCGTTGGAACAGGGTAGTTCAATATGAAGTGTATTTAGAAGGAAATGGTGTAAGGGAAAGTTCTATGGGATAAGACATGGGGTATTGTGGTGAAAGGGATGTTGTGATAGTGTTAGGGAGTGGTGTTATGGGGCAGAGGCGGAGGATAAAAGGAGGGGCCGCTGGTCCATTTGACAATAGTGCCAACCGCCCGCACCTCTTCGTTCTTGGGCCCGGGGGCCCAATAGGGCCTTCTCCTAGAAGACCTTAAGTACTGGAGCACCAAGAAGGAGTCCGAATTCGGACTAGGGCCCCATGAGCAAACTTGTTCAGGCAAGGGTGGAGATTCATCTGGCGGATTTGTAGAATATTATGAAGTGATCCAGTGTGGATAAGGAGGATCAAAGGGATCAAAATTGAATTGTCGGATGATGGATCTTTGGATTCAGAGCAAGGTGTGGTGCAAAGGGCAACATTGCATTTGGCAAGAGGTGGAAAAGTGATAACAAATGTTGTTTGGACATCTCAAGTCATGTGTAATGGTTGGACATGTTGGGTTGAAAGGGTGATGCATGTGGACTGAGCATTTGAAGTGACGTGATGTTGTTCAATCAGGATTGATTTCTTGACGATGTTGATTATGATTGATCATCAATTTAAGCAATGGGTTATTTGTTCAGTTCAATGTGGTGATCTAGAACTCTCAAAGCAATGGGAGTTTCAATGGAGCGAAGATTAAGTTCAGCCTGTGATCTATGGGTCCTTCGGGGCGATCACTAAGGGGCATGTACTTTAACAGTGTACGCCTGCATTCGCTGGGCTATCCATCCGTCAAAAGTGGGGAAAAAACTGAAGGGAACGTCGATTGGCATGGTCACCATCAAACCCAAAAATTGATCTGCTCATGAGGAACGCCAGCAACATTTCAGCATTCAGCACCTTCAAGAGTCCACTGCTGACAGACCTGATCATGCTCGCAGGTTGCGATTTCATCGAGTACGGATTGCAGTTTCAAGTCATCGTACTGTAAGCGAGAGAGGTGAGAAACGAAAAATTACAAAAATACATTCTCCAACGCAAAATCTGAGAAAACTTTGTGGGAGATACGCAATTTGCAAGCTCATAACCGATTGGTTATGAGCTAATTGGTGCAAACAGGGACGTTGAAAGGGGGAAACGGCAGGATCTGGCACATGCTGCATTTTGTGTAGATGTTTGGGCTTCACTTTGTGGTAGCATTTCGGGCTGCCCGTTACCAGTGACCAGTGGGAAGCTCGTTGCACAGGACGTTGGTCAGGACAGACGCGCACGCGCGGAACATCTCTGAGACTATTTGTTGGCTTTCTGTTTTCATGACATTGAAGACGCCGTTAACCGTCCAGTTGTTGTCCTAATGCCTGCCGGACATACTGTTCTGCGAATGCTGCGTTTCGATGAGTCAGCCCCCGAGCCGCAAACACGGGAGGAAACCGGAGCAGGCCGATCTGCCACAGGGGGCGGGGCGAGGCGAGAAGGGCTACGGCGCTGGGCGAACGGCCAGGCGGTGCGGCTGGCTCGCCCAAGCCCTGCTGCAAGATCCAGTCGGCTTCGCGACGTCAGACCGATGATTGCCACACATGCGGTGCAGTATCTACGGCTTTCCAAGGCAAAACGCGGGGATTTCCACGGCGATCGAGGCTCAAGGGACCGCACAAACGTCTCGCGACCGTTGGCCCTGTCTTTCAGGACGGCAGACAGCCATTTCCGGGGCAGGCAGCCAATCTTGGGAGTGTGAAAATTGTTTTGCTTTTGCGAGCGATGGCCGTAGGCGTGGAGGCTGTCAGGCAACATTTGAGAAAGTGGGAGCGCGAGGCAAGAGGACAACTGCCTGCGGCTGAAGGGAAAGCCCATTTTTGTTTGCTGGGACTTGATCCCAGGTGGCACGATTGCCGCAACAAACACAGAATGAGGTCGCCGCAAGCACAACTGCGATAGCGACGGCGCTCGAGCTCACTGTAGCACTGGCCCAGCGCTGGCCGGCGACCCACTTGCTTCTGACGTCGAGGCCTCCATCTTGAACGCGACGCTCCTCAAGCAGAAACGCGGCGAGCTTGCGGGGGCCGGCGGGAATTGGCCCAACGGTCATCTGGACTTGGACATCTTCAACGAAATCTCCGCCATCGCTTTGTGGGAGGACGGCTTGCCTGTTGCGCGCTTGAAGCAGGACTGAGGCCAGCCTGAGATGGCTTGGAGCGCCCAGACGTGGCGGCGCGGCGGGGTGCTAGGCGTTAGTGTGGCAGCGAGCCCAGGCCCGTGCGTTGGGCGGGGCAGTGAACATCGGATCGCCGCGCTATCAATCGATTCGAGTGGGAGCAGGCAGCAAGGTGGTTGTGTCGGGCTGCCGTACATCAGAAGGTTTTGTTGATCGTGTGTGGGTGACAGCCAATTATTCCGACAGGGCGAAGCACAGTACCGGCCACGTCAGAGGACAGCTGGCAGTGAACGCCCGAGAGTCAAGGGGCCCTTGACCGGAAAAGGGGTAGGGGGTAACAACAAAAAATCACGACAGTAAGCATATGAGGCTCTTTAGGCCATTCAGATTTGAAATTTACAATTCTGTTGTTGTTTCATCTGCAGTGTGTGCAAACATTAAGTGTAGTCCAAGGAAGGACTCTTTTCTGAGTCTGCCTTGAATGATTAGCAGGGACGATCCAAGACAGCCTGCTTCAGCGGACAGAATTGGGCTCCCTCGGCTCACACCTGCAAAGGCTGCTCCTGCATCATTTGCTTGTCCGACACGAGGTCCCGTCGGCTGGGACTCCTTGATCCCGCTGAGGTTGCTGACCCGCTCCAGTATGTCCTGGATGTCAGTCTCCGTCTTCTTGCTCGACACCGCGTACGGACCGAGGCCGTAACTTTTAAGGAAGGCGCTGTCCTCTTCATCGAGGACGCGCATCGGGGGCTCCTCCACGGGATCATCCGCCATCTGACGAGCGGTGCCAAAGTTTGGCTACGAGTTTCGCGCGCGACTTGGATGGCACCCTGCGCGCTTGCACTGCGCGCCTGTCTGGAAGCACCTTATCTGTCCACGGGCCCCGCCGCTCGGTACACAGACCGATACATTGCATCATGACGTGAAACAAAGCAGTGTTAAGTACATGACTTAGTTGGGAAAATTGTGGATCGGAAGGGGTTCGGTTCGGGCCCATGACTAAGGGATCGACAGGACGGTTTCGACAGACGCCAACCAGCCTCATTTCGCAACAGCGCCACTCGCAGCTTCTCAGCATCGTTTCTCGCTGCGACTCTATTGCGGTTGCTTCATCCCCCTGCCTCAAATGCGGTTTGGTCTGGCTATCCAAGGCAGGGGGTGACCATGGAATGCTTTCTTTGCTACAACGCAGCTGCCCACTGTCAAGTACGCATAGTCCTCTTTTTGGAAGTCCAGAAGCGTTCCACTCAAGAAATGACAAGCCTTTCGACGTTTCCCATGCCGATATGAGCAGTCATTGCGACCTCTCCGCCTCGAAAAGCTTGTACTTCCTGCCTTGCTGCTCAACTGGTTGTTCCAGAGCGAGGCACCATTGCATTCGGCTCCTTTGGAGCACCCACACTTTGCAGTGTGTCCAATTAGGGGTTGAAGTGAAACAATGGCCAAGAATGAAGTGCGACGGTCTCCTCAGATTGATACACCACAAAACACATGATGGTTACTTAGTCCTCAACTGGACCCAATTTCGTCAGCCAACATGGCGCCAGCGCCGCCACAGCTTGCGTACTTGCATCGTGGGATTCCAGGCAACGACAAGGCCCCCTTCGCAGGGGCACAGCAGCTCTGAAGCTGATCCACACCAAGCTTTCGCATCCCTTCAAACAAAGTAACTTAATGCCATTGCATTACAGTGACCTCCGCCCGTCCTCCCACAAATTTCCTCCGACCTCTCATTCATTCAACTCGCACCCGCGTCCGCGTACACATGCGCGTCCCGTTCTCGATCACGGGAGTGCTGCCACTGGGTCGACAGTAAGCGCCACAGGCCCCGCAAGGCGTCCACCACGGACCACCATGATAACGAATCACAACCAAGTGGGCTTCAACAGTGCAAGGCGACAGGGACTGGCGTCCATGGGCGAATGGCAAGGAACGGCATACAGCACATCATAAATCCGCCTCTCGGGCTGTGTGGGTATGTCACTATCTCCTGACGAGACGCTCCTCCAACTGTGGGGATCAGTGTCAGGGACACATCAAGCTGCTGACTCAAGAAGATACCAGGGAAAGCCCCAACTAGCCCATTCTGTTTCCCCCCACCCCTCCCCCACAAGATACTGCAGGTCAGGATGTACCTTGCAAATGACTTGCCAAACACCATAGTGAACGACGAATTCAACAGATACATGCACCACCACTGGCCCCCAATGAAATCCCCATGGTACATCCTGAAACCTGCAAGCGCCCACCCAAACATGTTATTGGTCCCCCTGGCAATTCTGGCAGCGCCCCGTGCCACAGCGCCAGCTCACAGCTCAGAAGCGCCTGCTGGTGACAGGAACGGCATTTGCACCTGTGCGGCCCCTCGGAGCACCATAGCCACCGCCACCACCCCCAGGACGGCCTCGGGCGCGGAAACCAACTGAGAAAACAAAATCCAGATTCAGTTCTGATCACAGGGAACAGTAAACCGTGTTTCCCTAAACTGATGCTCACAGCAATGGTACTCTACCAACGTTCCGCACACTCTTGCTATGTGTACATACACGGACATGATTGTCTTGCAAGAATTCCCACAGCCCATATCAGACAAAGCACTTTGCAACACAAACTGGCATGGTACTGGGGGTAGCACACTGCAAAATAATACTAACCCTGTGATTCTGCATAAACAGATGTTGGTCATGAATTCCAAGACAGGTCAGCTGAGAAACAACAATGTACTCCAACAGCTGCCATTGCCAAGCTCCTCACCTGAATCTCCCCTGCACTGTGTGGCCATCCTCCTCAACTGTTCTGGCACTATCTGCTTGGCTTCCTCAAGCACATTGATGACCTGCCTTGCAATCCTGCCATTGTTGCCCGTCACAAATGACATTGCGATCCCATGTGCTCCCGCTCGTCCAGTTCGGCCAATGCGGTGCACATAGTCTTCTGCGGTGGCTGGCATGTCATAGTTGCACACGCATTTGATGTCTTTGACATCTGCAGCAAAGGCATTATAAAGGGGGGGGTGAGAATGTCCCAAGAAAAACACACAAAGCCACTACTGTGCCAGCACGGAGACATGTATGAACGAATGTCCAGCCCATGACTGTGTGGCCATACTGTGCGACACAACTGATGGGAATTTGTTCGCATTCTGCGGGGACAGAAGAGTGGGCAGCTGGGACCCACACGACCAGCACAGAAAAGGCACCAACCACAGTACCACCCTCATACAGACAGCAAAAAACCCACATACCCCCAAGCGATGCACCACACACCAGTCCCTACCTCGAGGGATTTCAAGAGGCAGACCGCCTCTTGACTGGGTGCGACATAGGGTGGAACGTGGGGCGCGTCGGCTGGCCGCGTGCCACTCCTCTTGGCCTTGCCTCAGGAGGACCAACACCGCAACAACTCCCACAGCACCGCGGGGGCTTCAATGGCCGAAAGGGCCACCAGCACCAGGCCGCCCAGCCGCCATCGTAACGCAACATACATTGCATACGAGGATGCTGGCCAGCCATGCTGCCCCCGCCTTCGGCTTTGCAACGCCGAGACCACTCAGAATGGTGGTGCGTGTGTGGCATCGTCTGTCCTCGGCGAACCCGTCGCCACACCGTGTTTCAACGGCGGCGAGATTTCGTGTTTGGGTCGCCGGGACCAGAGAGGGGCCATCGAACGGAATCAGCCATCAACCAGCTCGGGCTGGTTGTGCACTGATCGTTGTGTGTGTTGACTCCCAAGGCATTGCCAGAGAGTCCCTATCCTGTACTGAAATGTGGAAAAGGAAATAGTGGGATAGGGCGGATCGCTGCCCAGGATAGGGGCTACTTTCAGTGAACCCCTCTGTGCACAAAACGAAAGCCAGCAGGAGTTTGGGGTGGGCAAAGATACTCAAAACAACAGAACTCAAGTGAGGATCATACCAAGTCCACGTGCAGCCACGTCCGTAGCAAGCATGACTGGATTCTTGCCAGACTTGAACTCCTGTTCGGAAAACCACAGCGTGCAATGTCAACATCCAACATGGTACACATGCAGCATACAACGAGCCCAGCTGCTGAAAAGCTCAGGCAGTCGGCTGGCATATCGTTGGCTGCGCACTCTGGCACTTTCAAAGGTACAGGGGTCATTGGCTTGACCTTCCACACCTCGATGAAAACCACCCTGAAATCTCCACACCGAAGGCATCGCCGCTTCTGCAACAACAGCCATCAAAGAAGCACAAAGGGCAAAGACGTGCCACACATCATGCCTTGTTGCCTGTCATTCATGAATTTTGTAGCTGTTGCCTTGATTGCAAGGGAGCCGAAGGTAAACATGGGCTTGTCTTAGCCTCAAGAGCTTCAAGAGGAATTCAACGTAAAAAAACGAAACACCAATCTCACCTGCAGCACCCATTCTCGCTCTTGCTGGCTCTTGTCCCCATGAATCGACAGTGCTGGCCACCCATCCATCCTCAATTGCCTTGTGACCTATGCGATGGCAGACACTTCTAAACCTTGAGCATTAAAACTACAACAAGATTGCTGTGTGCGACAAACGTGATCAAAGGCACAAGTCCACAGCAAGGTCCCCAATGAACAATACAGCATAGTGAAGTGGCCACATCTCCCAGCTGTAGCAAATACCCAACACACAAACACCCAAACACCACACCACCCCAAAACCCTTCCACCCCACCCTTAACCCCCACACCACACCTATTGTCAGAGGAAGCTGGCTACTGGCCCCATGTCTGGGATTGAAAATATGGCCTTGTACTTTCTCGTGGAGGCGGAAAAGACTGAGGCATAGGAATGCAAATGTGGACAAAATGCGCTATCACAGCCAAGGTCAAGTCCCAGCCTCACACTGCATTTCAGAACAAACAAGGCACAGAAGGACCCAGGCCAGGCACCCAGAGGCAAGCACACGCACCGCATCGCATCCCCTCTTGGTTTCACAGAAAATAAGAATCTTGTTGCCGTCCATTTCCCTCTCAAGCAACTTCTGCAGCTTGCCATATTTCTCTTGATCGGTTATGAACTCAAAGTGCTGTGTGATGTTGTGGTTGGCCTTCAGGTCAGGCGAGCCAATAATGACTTGCTGCAACACCACACATTAGCAGGTTTGGTCAGCCTTTCAAAGAGTGGATGTCTGTCTGTGGCCAGTTCTGCTACAAGGTGCTGCTGCACTGCTCACTAACATCCAGGAGCGATCAAAGACTGCATCAAAAAGTGGAAACCCCGCAGTACCTGGTATGGACTTTTGAGGAACTCCCTTGCGATCGTCTGAACATCCTTTGGCCACGTGGCACTCCACAGCAAAGTTTGTCGATCGGGGCGAATCTGCAAGTCGGTGAAGTTCATCAGTTGCATTGTAGAAGCAACAAACAACATATGGACCGGGGCAATACAGACAACACGCCTGCAGGCAAAACAATCAAGAACAGTACATCCAGCCCTTTGGGCATACATGGCAAGTTAGGTAACTGAACGTGGCACTAAGGCAGAGAAAGTTCCATTCTGCACCGCGCAGCGCGCAGCAGGCGGTAATCAAGTGATTTTTGACAGCCTTCCAGTGGCAAAGCACACCACACTTGTTCTGCTGTTGCAGCAATGTAGTGACAAGAACGCCCTGCTGTCCCAACCATGCGGTTGGAAAAGGAAAAACGCATACCTGTGCAATAATTTTCCGAATCTGGGGTTCAAAACCCATATCTAACATTCTGTCGGCCTCGTCGAGCACTAGATATGTGACCCTCCGCAGGTTAGTGTGCCTGCCCTCCAGCATGTCAATGAGGCGACCTGGTGTCGCAATCACGATCTCCACCCCAGCCTTCAGCTCGCGGATCTGAGGACCTTTTGGTGAGCCTCCATACACACACGTGTTCTTGATCTTGGAAGATGACCCAAATTTCTGGCACTCCACCTGGATCTGGACTGCCAGCTCTCGGGTTGGGGCCAACATGAGCACGATGGGGCCATCGCCAGGTTCTGGACATTCAAAAAAGGGTGGCACATGCGCCTCAGGCTAGGGTACCCTAAAGAGGTGGGAACCCACAAATCAAACAGCATATCAGGGAAGACAGAGAGCTGATGTTGTAAGCAAGATGCGATGCAGGGGTTGGACTTACGTAGGTATGGCCGGGCGTTTATGTGGACGATGGCAGGGAGCAGGTATGCAAGTGTCTTGCCAGATCCAGTCTCCGCAAGACCCACCATGTCCCTTCCCATAAGGGCCATGGGCCAGCCCTGGGACTGGATGGATGTGGGTTCCCGAAAGCCTGCCTTCGTCACCTCAGAGAGGACATAGCCTGTCAAAAAAGACACCAGGGGAAGGTACACTCAGGCACATCGTCTGCCAAGCAGCGCTTCCAACTGGGTAGGATTCTGCACAGCCACACAGCACACAGCCACATAGCCAAGCTGGGTAGCAGTGCATGATACAGCGATCGCCGCCTGCGTCCCTGGCACAGAGAAGCAGGCTCCCAGCTGGCCAAGGCGCACACGGACAGTGCGCTCTCTGTCCCACAGCCGTGTGTTGTCCCAGACGCGCTCGCAGCACGCCCCACAACCAAAGAGCTTCTGAGCAGAGACCCTGGTCAGGAACAACAGAAGAACCAAACCACCCAACCGCGCGATCGCGAACACTGCCCCAACACGAGCATCTTCGACCCCGCACCCCAGCAGCCACTGCTCACGCCACCAGCAACCCGCGCAAGCATGCCAGGGCCAGCGCCGTCACCAACAAGGCCGCGACACAGCCAAGGGCCCGGGCGATCCTGCCCACACCACCGTCGGCAAAGGTTACCCTAGGCTGCCCGCCCAAGGACCGCACGGCCCACCCCAGCCTTGGCCTCAAGTGCGGCACGCGCCGCTGTCATTGCAACACGCGCGCTGTTCTGGCCCGGGCAACCGGTTCAGAGCAGCCACGGCGAGCCCGAAGCGCTCTTCGCAGGAAAGCCCTTCGCCCAAACATCGTCGCGTCCCCTCCCCCGCGCCCACAGCCGCCCACAGCATTCACCCTGGCAGCCTGAGCCCCCAGCCAGGGCAACAGCAGAGCCCGTGTGTCCCTCCACAATTTCCGCTGCGCCCGCCAGGCGCCCACACACACACTCACTCGGGAAGCTCGCCTCCGCGAAGGTCTGCACGGGCTTCGGCACGTCCTCCCCAGACACATGGATCTGCTTCATCCGCCGGTACATCTCCACCTCCTCCGCGCTGCGCGCCGACACCGTGGGGTGCTCGTGATAGAAATTCTTCTCGAAGGGCGGCAGGTTGCTGAAGTCCTGCTTGTCCAGCCGGATGTCGTCCAGGCTGTCCCGCCCCCTGTACCGATCCCGATCGCCACCGTAGCCCCCGCCGCCATATCCGCCCCCCCCTCCATACGCCCTGGAGCCAATCCCCGTGCGGTCCCTGTACGAGGATGAGTCCGTATAGCGCGAGTAGCCATAGCCAGTGTTGCCGTAGCTCATGGCGGCCGGGGACTGGAGGAGGTGGGTGGGCGGCGGTGCCAGGCAAGATGCGGGCCGCCTGGATCGCCGCGCCGCGCTTTGGTTGCGCCTTCTAACCTCCTGTGGGCTTCAAAGGGGGAGGGGCGGTTGGCGGCAAAAGATGGTGGGCGGTGGTGCAGGGTGGTGGTGGTGGAGCGGGTGGCTATTTGAAGAGGTTGGACGGTGATTGGACAGGTGTCGATCGGCCGGTGGGCATTATGGACAATGACGGGGTTTGATGGGGACGGGGCGAGCCCAAAGGGCGGTTGAACGGAAAAGTGCGCGGAATCCGTCCAAGAATCCGCCAAAGCGGAGGACACACTTTTGCCGGCCCTGTGGCGACCAGCTTCGCGTTGCGGATGCAACTTGTTATGTGGCAAGGCTGGTTGGAACGAGGCGTCCCTTCGGGAACGACGCTAGCGTTAAAATTCCGCGCAAATGACAGCTGGTCTCTTCCCTTTGTGGTGTCGCCGTTCAGCGCAAGTGCCGCACGCCTTGCGGTGGTGGCCAACCAGATGTCGCACTGGACGACCTGACTTTGTGACCACCCTGGAGAGGGACCCCCAGTGCTCATGAATCACAGCACCTGCGCAGGTACTGTGTTCTCCACAGCACAACTCGATCGTCTGCCAGTTAATCAGCCACTGCACGCATTGAAAACGGAGGTTAGGAAACTTGTCTATTCCTGTTTTGGTCCTTTTCGTGGCATACAATTGTTCCCCAATCCCAAGCTACCAAAAGACTACGCGCCAATACATCGTCGCTTGAGGGGTTCAAGTTACATCAAGCATGCCGGAAGGCCGTGTGGCAGCAGTAATGTTGCCACGGCAGCCCCTACAAAGCGCCAACACCTCCAACCCAGCAGGTGTACCTGCCCCTAAAAGCCCCAAAACAGGAACGTTTTCAACAATGTCGTTGTGCAACAGGAAGCAACCCGCGCACAAGAATGGCCCAACGTCACCCAAGGCGACGACTGTCAAAGAGGGCCGTCACGACTCCCAACTCAGCTCGTCAAGAATGGTGAGCCACAGATCTGGACATGGTCGTTGTGGAGGCGGGGGGCTTGGGGGATGGGGGAAGAACACCAGGGACCATTCACTTCAGTTTCCTCGACGCCGCCCAGAGCTCCTGCTCACCCATCCTGCCATCGGCCAACCACTGGATGGCTGTGGCTGGCACACCCAACACCACTTGTGTACGCACTGGGACGGCCCGCCTCTCTGCCACCCACTGGGATTCAAATGGTTCACTGGGCTTATTTCCTGTTCCCAGCAAGCCCACAACAACATCGTCCAGCGTTTCTTGAAATTCAGCAAGTGGGGAGCATCCAATCAACCCGAAGATTCAAGTGTCCAGGAAGTTGGCTGCCATCAATAGCTCCAGCGCTATCGAAGGCTCCACCTTGAACTCGGGCACGCTCCTGGCAGCAGAGTTCTGGTGCCTCAGGTTGTAATAGAAGTATCTGCACACCTGCCAGCAGGCAGCATTGAAGCCATTCAGGGAGCGCAATTAGACACTGTAGGCACATTTGGAGTTTACCTAGCAGGGTCAAAAGAAGCTACTCTCGTCCGATTACTTCATGCATTCCAACTAACGACAGCAACCTGTACATTTCCTCCAGCACACACACACACACACTGATCTGTTGCGCATACTGACCGCACCTAACTCACTTCGGGCGTCAGGCCAAGAAGACGAAAGTTTGCAGCTTTCAGGGCTGTGACATGGACACAGGTACATTGGTGCCTAAGTCTACAGTGCGCGGCCAAGTTTGGCAGTGCTGCTGCCTGTGGACCCCGCCCACTGCCCGTGGCCCTCTCGTGCCTGCCAGAGGGATGCGCACCTGCTCCAGGACGGCGCCCGAGATCTCCTTGAACGTCACCTCCCCTCGCTCGCTCTCCGTGAAGCACCCCCCCGCGTTGAGCATGTTCTTGATGGTGTTGGACACGCAGGCGGCCTCATAATCTACCACGAACTCGAAACCATCCGCGCTGATGAGCTTCACCGTGTCCTTGGGCATGGCGACCGGGTCCCCGCCTGACGCCTTTGTCTCCACGCGCACACAAACGGCTCCGCGGCGCCCACAGCCGCAGGGTGGCTGGCAGAGGGGCGTTCCAAAAGTTAGCAGGCGACCAGGCGGCGAGCCAGACCCGTGCGGCGTCCCCGGCGAGCAAATTGGCCAGCGCGTGGTCCAGACTCCGCGGAGCTCACACGACTCTGTGCGCTGCGCAAGGCGAGCTCCGGGCTGATGGGTTTGTTTGGAAAGAATTGGATATTTAGATTGTCAATCGGATTTTTATTCGGATTTAGTTGGATTTTTTTGTGATTCTTGCGAGGAAAATGCATTTTTGTTCAGATTGTGCCACGTTGTTGGGCGAAGGGCTGTGCGGGGCGGCGCGACTCGCAGGCGAGCGTGATCTTCGCTGCCTGGCGGTCTGTTGGCGCCCATCCCTGCGGCTGCGAGCGGGGAGGGTCGGCCGCCATGCCCGAAGACGCGTCCAAAAATGGCCCCATGCCGGGCAACGGGGACCAGGGCGCCGATGCGGGCGAAGGCAAGAAGAAGGGGAAAAAGAAGAACCTGCTGGAGGGCTGGACACCCAAGGAGAGGCCCAGGCGGCGGCCCAAGCTGGAGTTCTTCCAGATCCAGCAGCACGACTTTGTGCGCGAGGCCACGAGGAAGAACATCTGGTATTATCGGGACAGGCTGAGCGTTCCGCGGGGACCGTGCCCTCTACCGGTGCTGAGGGAGGCATGGGTGAACGGACTCATCGACGAAAACACGCTGGTGTGGGGCCATGGGCTGATGGACTGGCTGCCCGCGAAGAACGTGCGGACGCTGGTGGCGCAGATAAGGACGCCCGAAGGTGCGCGGGCGGAAAGGCGGGGGGTGATGGGTGGGGTAGCGGGTGATGGGGGAACCCTAGTCGGGGCGGCGGCGGGCTGCGGGCCATTGCTGATGCACGTGGGCGAGTGGAAGGGGAGGCGCGTGCGGACTTGTGAGATTGCTCTGATCGGCGCTGAAAGATGATTCCCAGGCACCTGAGTGGGGATGATTGGGTGTGGCGTTGTTATCTTGAAGTATCGTCGCCAGTCGCCTGTTCACTGGTCGATGTGCGGGAGATCAAGCGCTTGCACAGTGTGGCTTGACGTTGATGCTCAAATTGGTGCGAATCAGCGTCTCCAAAGCGAATTATTCTGTTGGGTCCCCACAACAGATTCTTCGCATATTCATGCCCTATGAAAATGGCATTCTGTTTGGTGCGCCTGTTGCATTCTGAAGGGCAGTATAATTGCATTCTTATAGAGGATGTATTGTGCGTGATGGATACCTCTTGTGGGAGTTTAGATTGCCCCTTTTTTATCAATTGTAGTGGGCAGCAGCCTCATTCCCCCACCCGATGGGAGCATGCATTGTCAGCATTTTGCATGTGTTTTTCAAGCGCACTTTTCACGAGCGGTTGTGTGTTGTCTTTGCAGTTCAATTTTCTGCATGGGTGAAGAAAACATTTGCGCTTAAACCTGCACTAAATGCCATCCGGAGAAAACGACCAGAGCACAGGACTGTCTTGACGGACCAAGTCAGCAACATGAGATAGGTTGCTGGAAAAAGGAACATGTCCAGAACTTGATATATTGCACGGCATCATGACCCAGTATGTGGCTGGCTTCACCTCTTGTTGGACAGGTTCAGGCCAGAATGAACTGGTGGCCAACAGCCATATGTGACACAACAGATTTTTTCGATCGTCACTACTTTATGGCACAAGAGGTTTAGCAGGGTTTGTTTAGCAGGGAGTTTCTCGTGCACTCAGATTGCAGCTATATCTTGTAGAGTCTGATATCGAGGGATGGAGATCGCGTGGGCTGAGTGGCAGTGGGGATCTGAATCCTCCACATTGCCAGCTGTGCCAGCAGTTGCGTTTGTAGCTTTGAGACGAGCTCCAGAAACCAATTGATTGAAAATTGAGTGCCAAGCTGGCACGCCAAGCAGAAGCTTATGGAAGCTTCACGTTGTAAAGTGCTTGGTTCATTTCTTGTGTGAGCCATAGGGCAGCAGTAATGCCAGCACTGCGTCAGCCAGGCAAAAATGTTGGTTTGAGCAAGCAGATTGATCCAGCAACTGGAGGGCAGGCACCCGTGGCGAATTGCTAGGCCTGCTGCTCCTTTGTGTTGGAGTGCATTCCAATAAGTGACAACCATGTGCTGGATCAGCCCCATGATACTGCAACACTCCTGGTTTTGGCGGTGTGCTTTCTGGTCTTCATCGTCTGCGATTGTGTTCAGGAGTTGCCACCTTGAAAGACAGGGAAAAGGGGCTCTTCTGCAGCATCTCGTTTTTGCCCTCTTGGGCTGTTTCCCCATCCCTTGCCCCAACCTTCCTCCATAGCCTGCCAGGAAGCTGCCAGCAAATTGTCGAAGGCCCACAGACAGCATAGAGATTCTTCCGGAGATTGTTTGGTCCGGTTCATGGCTCCATGGTAGGAATCCACGGCCTTTTCCAGAGTGCTATATGCACCCACCTTTTCCTCTGGGAACTACTTGCACACCTGCAACAGCCTCTCCTGAAGAGTAGTTTTGGTTCTCTTTTCAACTGTGGCCACCACCTGCAGTTTCCCTTTCAAAGGAGCGATTTTCATTTTCTTCACAGATGCAGCCACCATCTGCTGAAAGGCCATAAAGATCCAAACCTGGGCTGGCATGTGCCCAGTAGAGTGCTTCAGGCCTGTGGCTGTTGTGATTGTTGATCCAATCGGTGGAGGTGCAAATCTCCAATACATCCACAGCTTGGAACGTCATTTTCCATTGGTGCAAAAGAAAAGTAGCCTCCTCCACATGGTAGGTATTCAGTGCATCCTGGCATGTTTCCTAGTGTTCAGGATTACCAATCAAATGTGAAGGACTCTCAAAGCCTTAAACCATGCGACGGCGTTGCAGGTGTTTGTAGCCAGAAACATTTGTCGCTTCTTCTTGGGGCACCGCTGACTCGATGTGCTTGTCGCTTTGGGTGTCAACATTGATGAAATTACATCAGCCACAGATCATGAACTGAAGACTGAGAGTAGCAATGTGGTGGAATTCTTGGACAAGGCTGCTCTGCAGAAACGAACGGCAGTACATTCGCCAAAAGATCGGGACAATTTTGGCACTGGCAACCTGCAAGTAGCAAACACCTCTTCAGAAGCACATTGACAAACGAGCAAAGCGGCCTCAAATATTGCAACAGGGCACAAGGCCGAAGGCAAACGCAATGAGCAGCAGACCCTGATGCAGGAGATGACGACCAACCTTCATGTACAACCAAGCGCGGCAGCGCAACCGATAGGAGCTTAACATGTCATACAGGTATTGGGGTTCCGCCTGCCAGCCCGGGCACTTCCAAAATCTCTTGCGGAGCGTCAATTCCATTTTGTGGTGTCTGACAAAACCCCCAGACCGTCAGGCCCCTTGGCCCTGGCACGCCAGGCCCGACTTGGGTAGGCTCTGACATCCGATCTACGCCAGTCCGGGCCCGCCCTTCTCTGGCTGCAGACGCCGTGTGGTCAGTGGTTACCTCTTGGGCGAAGACAGGGCGGCGACTGTGATAAACAAGGTAGGCGCGTCCGTCGATTCTTCTCTGTGGCAGAAGGATAAGTTCAAAAAAGCAAATATGTCGAGGAATTCACAAACGACTCCTGCGCAGAGCATGGTTGCGAGACTCCTTTCTGCGCTGTGAAAGATGGTGCGGAAGGCTCCAAGTGCAATGGGTGGATATGGACGCGCAGAAGCGCAATATGCGATAAGCGGTGCGCCCAATGGGGGTAAATGACGAGAGGTCAGTTCGTTGCGCCGCACAACAGAAAAACCTTGCGTGAGCGCTTCCAAATCCTGCGCTCTGCTTTGATTCATATCCGTTTGACACATCGAACAGGATATCTGGGGATCTCTCCCACCTGTAGTCTGCCCCTGTCACGCCAGCTGTGCACTCAGTGGCATACTTGGTGACGGGTGGCATTGTTGATGTTGCCCACGTCGCTTCTGGTAACTCTATGCTGACCCAGAGTTACCCCAAGCCACCCAGCAACGTGCCTGAAAAGGGGTCTGCATTGGTGCATGCGCGCCAATGAAACCATTGCTCTATCACCTGAGGTACAGAGTGAGTGGCTGAAGGCAGAGAGCATTAGGATGGTGTGGGGGGCTGGGGGAGAGTAGCACATGGAAGGATGGCAAGCGCCACCGGTGCCGAACAGGGCACCCAAGCGACCCCAGATCTCATCTTCACTTGCTGAAGTTGACAATGATGTGATATGTCTGGGTCTGCAGGGTGCGATGCGCACCAGCTTGTGCCAGGCGCCCGTTTCCTTGCACGACCTGGGCATTGGTAGGGCACACCACATTCCTCTTGCTGGAACACGTGCCGGTGTTGCACGAAAGCCAGCTGTAGTACAGGCCTCGAACTCCCACAAGCAGGTGTGGATACAGACGTCAAGGGAGGTGAGGGACTCACTAGCCCATACTGCCCCAGTTTGGAGCCATGAGGAAAGATCTTCTACACCTATTTGGCTCGAAGTCTCACAGCAGAATATGTTTGATACACGATTGTGGCGATCTTGGTTTTCTTGCTGTTCATCGCTGGACCTGAGTATCACACAGCTGCTGCAGATGCATAGCTGCTTTTTGGATGAAATCAGCAAAGGTGGTGCCCCAATGGCACCAGATGGTGAGTGGCTCCTAATCAGCACTGTTATGTTTACAGGAGGTGCTGACAGCTGCAGTTGAGAGTGGGTTTGACACTTTGCTGTTCCCTGAGGGTTCTGCAAATCTTGGAAAGGAATGGCAGCAGCTTGCGAACTTTCAGCCGCTTCACCAGCAGGGCACAAGTATTTGCAAAGAAGATGGCGATGTGGTGAGGGTCTCTCCACTCTTGTTCCAAAAGCAGCACATGCTTGTATCTTGCCCATTCCTCTTGGTGGAGCAATCACACTATCTTGGCTGTTTGGGTTTGTTTGTCCAGCCAGTGTGCATTATATTTCTACTGTGGCGTGGGCCGCTGACCGATGCATGACTTGTTTCTACCTTCACAAGTCCACATCCCGTTACCTGTTTGCAGAAATGGCAAAAGTCATTCACCTGCAGCCATTTGAGACAAAGGGAAAGATGCAGCCAAACACAACCGTGTTGATCGGTGCAGATGGCCACATTTCAACAATAACAGAAAAAAAGCAGTGGAGATCAGTGAACTAGCAGACAGGAGAGCAAGGTTGAAATGACATTTGTGGTTCTGAAGTTTGAGATTGGGATTCTGGTTTGATGGTATGGTCTTTGGATTGCTCAACTGTATGCAGGAGATCAAATGAATGCATCAATGATTGGTTGCCTTTGTGATGATAGACGTCCCTCATTTGAATCGGTGTCCCCAAGCACCATCCATAAGCCTTTTTTGTTGCTGATGGGATGCGGCAGGTTGGTGCGTTGGCAAAGGTTGAGTCTGGAGAAGACCTTAGTCTCCTTCAAGAGAAGGCGGCAGCACACAGCGGTGTGGTGATCATGGATGCAACTGACTGGCAGGTTGGTGACATTGCTGCAGCTCCCACTGCTGCTGTTGTTTCAGCCACTATTATGCTTTATGTATTCAAAAAGCAAAGATTGTCAACGCCAATACTAATATCTTAAAACCTCCGTTATGCCGAGGTGAATATCTGAACATAAGACTGCCTAACCCATTGTTCGGACCAGTATTGCCAAGCTTGTCCTGAAGCAGAAGCATAAAACCTTGTGTATGTGAAGCTTAGCAAGAAGGAAAAACAATCGTTGCATCAATGTGGCCACCAAAGATAGCCTTCAGTTTCAAAAACAATATCAAAGAATGATGATTCCAGGCATCAATGTAATTCACACAGAGCACTTGAGCTTCGTTCGAAAAGTAATCACATACTTTGGGAACCACAGGTTGGTGTCCATCCCAGGGTGTGGAGAAGATTGTATTCCTCATGTGCCTGACTTATTTGTGACTTTGGTGACAAAACTTCTGTGTTACTTGCACTTGTGGCATTGAACAGTCTGCTGCATGACATTGTTTCGGCATGACTTGCCTGGCTTTGTGAAAGGACCCATGACCATCCTGTTTGGTGGCACAGGTAATCCCAGCGGAGAACCTTGTTGCAAGTTTCCAGGATCAGGATTCTGAGCTTTTTGCCGCTGTGGCATCAGCTTCCGATGCTCAAGTGATGATGGAGGCCTTGGAGACGGGGGTCGCAGGTGTGTTGCTGAGAACCTCTGACCCTGTTGAGGTACGCACAGTCTGCATAGGTGTGGCAACCACAAATGGGACCCACAGTTGGAGATTGTTCAGTTGTTAACAGTCGTCCTTGCCCCATGAGAGGCAAGTCCACAGATCGTGTTCAAGTGAGATCATCCCTGGAGACATGGCACTTTGTTAAGTGAGAGTGGGATAACATGGTCAGCACCTTGCTGCCAAAGGGGATGGGGGTTTGGGAAGTGGGGGAGCTGTAACAATACAAAACACAGTCATCGAGCCAGTGTATGTATGGCAACAAGGCGCACACACACAATGTGCCACACTTCCCTGGTGTCTTCGTCAATAACCTAGACAAGGCACCGCACTCTGCTGTACAATACATCGCATGCATAGTGGGACCAAACCTTGTGTCAGTGAATTGTAGAAGGCAATTTCATTCTTGCTTGAGGCAGCTGTTGTTTATATTGGGAAACAATGACATTGTGGCGATTTGCTTGAACATATGGGCATGTCTGGCCTCAGCGGTGCTCCCAAATGAATTTTTATGTGGCTGGTTGGCAAAGCTGGCACACAACCTTTTCCCTTTCTAAACCATTAATACTGCCTTGATTCCCAACCCATGCCTGAGAATCTCCGATCCAACAGAGCACTGTGGAACTTGCCTGTATGGTGCGTCCACGCTTTCAGCAGTCACACTCTTTTGAGTCTGTTAGGTTGTCCCCTGGTGCCCAAAATGGCAAATAATTGCAACAGCTACGGCACTGTGCTGGCCTCCATGTGACTACACTTTTGAGGCCCCACCCTTCCCCTGATCGTGGGCCTTTGCCATGCAGTAGGTGCGCCAGCTTTCTAGTTACCTGTCCAGAATGGAGATGGAAGGAGCAGTTCGCTTTGCCTATGATGTGGCAACAGTCGTGAAGGTGGAGGCGGCCGGCATGGGGGACCGTGTGTGTGTGGACTTGTGTTCAATGCTATGCATGGGGGAGGGAATGCTGGTGGGCTCATTTTCCAGGGCTCTGTTCTTGGTGCATTCAGAGGTGCGTCTGTTGTCGTTGCTTAATTGGTGCTGCTGTTTTGGTCCACTGCACTTGCAGTCTCTGGGGCTGCGAAGTGAGCCAGATTGAGTGTTGTTTGTACCTTCCCTGTCAATTGCGTATCAGGTCCTGCATGATCCTTTGTTCTATGAGCTTGTTTTCTTAAGAAATGGTGGTGTCCTTGCCAGAAAGTGATATGGAGTTCTTTTGCATGCAATTGGGATGATGTTATGCTTGAGATTGCTAGATTTGACTTGTGAATCGTGCTTTGTCGCAGTGTGCTGAATCAAGATACATCAACAGCCGACCTTTTCGCGTCAATGCAGGACCGGTAAGCTCAGGTCACAGCCTTATCAAACTCCACAGGCTTCAACAGACTTTGGCCTTGGTTCACAGTAGAGTTGTAACCCAGCATTCTGATGCACGGTCTCGAGGGACGCAATGATATGTGCCCACCATTCTGGCAGTCTTATCATAACATTAATGGCCACTGGCACTTTGTGATGAAGATCGATCTCTGGCTCTTTGGATATAGGATCAGAATCGCGAACCTTGGAACAGGGCACATCAACGCCACGGAAGCCAATCTGTCCTTTTCCCAACAAGGACTTGCCATCGTTGCAGGCTAGCTGTCCATTGATGACACAAGTGATCTGCTGGTAATACTTAGTGTATACATTGGCAATACACAGCAGCAGGACTGGGAATTAGGATGAACGTCTCTCAAGGAGGACACAGTTTGTCAAGCACAGTGTTGTGTGCAGGCCCCTTTCATGACCAATATGTTAAATCACACTGCACGAGGGGATGGTTTCAACTAATCATCCAATGGGGGTGGCGTATTCTTGTGGGCAGCATATCCATGCGTATGAGTTTTAATGGGCGGTCTTTCCCCTTCACCTTCCTGCTCGCAGCCCAGTTCCTGTATATCTCACGGCTCTCACAATTTCCAGGAAACAACACAAACATGAACAGCGTTTGTGCAGAAGGTTGAATTCGCAACAGAGCTAGAAGTTTCTGTGCTGCAAAAGTATATTGGTCAATTTTATCTGGCAAAGGAAATGCAGACTCAATGCTCTCCTCACAATTTGGGACAGTGGCACAGACTGCATTTGAGTGCCTTTAGGTTGTCAGCTTGCCCACAGCAGACGACCGCAACGATTACAGCCGCTGGTGTTTTTGCAGGTGCATGCATACATTCAGCAGACTGACAACAAGACCGCATACTTGTCTGAGCTGAAATCAGGTTCCAAGGTCCTAGTTGCAGATGCTGAGGGGCGGTCAAGAACGGCCATCGTGGGAAGAATAAAATTGGAGACGCGACCACTAGTGAGTACAACCTGGGCAGTAAACGTGCATGCCAAAGGTCGCTGGCTGGTGGTGTGCTCCACAGAAAGGTTATGTTGATAATCCCTTGTTGCTGGACATTCGATCATTCCAAGTGGTCTATTGCTGTTGCTGATTGTTGTCATCATGTTTGTACCAGTGGGCTTGTCAATGCTGGTGAATGAAGGAATGAATCGTGGCCATCCAATCAACAGTTACTCAACATTAGTTGCAACATTAGTTGTTCAGGCTTGAGTCGTTTGGTTGCATTTGTCGAGAATACATGACAATTCGTTACCCTTGCACCTTGAAAGCGACATCGTGCTTAGCTCCATGCACATTGTTGCCCAGGTCAGGCATGGTTATTTCAGCTGGATTGGGACAAAGACTATGTCTGCCTGACGACTTGAGCATCAATGGCAAATAACTGCACTTTCCACACGATTGTTTCTCTTGTTGCTCAGTGTTGAAATACTGAAACCTGGGCATCACTGGTGACAGACAAGGATCCACATGGGACCAAATCGTGCAATTCTCAACTTTTTGTGTGGACTTTTGTTCACCCATGTGTCGCGATGGCTGCAGATTCTTGTGGAGGCCGAGACACCTGATGGAGAGGTCGTGAGCGCCCTGCTGCAGAACGCTGAGACTGTGCGGCTGGTGGGCCCCTCCATGGGTGGACAAGGCAGTGACAGTTGGGCGGCGACATCTGTTTCAGAACTTCAGGAGGGCGACCAGCTGTATGTCTACAGGCAGCAAGGCGCCCGCCATACTGGCATCAGCATCGACGAGAGGATCGTGGAAAAGTGAGAACAATGGGGGCGTCGTGTGTGGGACGATGGTGTTCAATCAACACTGTTGATGCATGCGTGTGCATCGTGGGAGCCGCTTTTCCATCTTGAGTCTGGCTGGCAGCTGGGTGAGGACCTTTGCAGCGGTGGACGACCTTCAAACATATTTGCGTGAGTGGGCGGGGCAGTCATCTCTAGGCGATTCTGGACAAGCCCGTTGAGTGCTCTCATGGTGGGCATGCGTGTAAGTCCAGGTTTGTTTGCAGCAGTGTGTCTCTGAATGATGTGCTTTCTCATGCATTTCGCCCATCTTTCTAATCCAACAGTCACCGCCAGCGGCTCAGACGCCCCCTGCGTCCCATTTCGCCAAAGGCTCGCAAGATACCCTCTCCACCCATAAGAAGGAGCCTTTGGGTTGTCAGGGGCGTTCGGGCGTTCCTTAAAACAACGAGCGATTCGATCTGGTTGGCCAAAAGGGGTTTTCCCATTTCAGCATCCGTTTCCACACAGTCTAACCTTCACAGTTTGTCAAGCTCTCAGCTGACCCAACGAGGGCTCCCCGTTTGGGCATACTCTCGTGAGTTCCTTGCTCGACAGAGCACTCCACTAGTTGCCCAGCTGCGCAGGGAAATCCATCTTCCCAACGTTGGCCTGGCTTCACGACCTCAGGCTAATCCTGGGTGCCACCCGGTGTCCAAGACACCACGATGTTGGCCGTTCCATGTCTGAGCCCAGGGCGTCGGGGGAGCTGGCCTCAGCACTCTCGGAAATTGCGAATGGGCAGACGCCCGTCTCAGCGTCCCAGCATGCGAACGCAGAGGCTGTCGAGATACCATTGTGGTCTTGCCTCTCACTCCCACAACTGTCCATGCCGGACCGGCGTTTTCGGTGCACGGAACGACCAGCCATTGTGGGTACTTGAGAAAACAAAAGTACAAACAAAAGTGGACAGCATCGGCGCAACTGTGCTTTAAACACAGTGTTTATAATGGTCTGTTGCCTGCGTGGTTGTCCTTTGGTTATGGTGGGTGAGCCGGCGTCAAATCCTCTGCCTTTGCAAAAGGAGGCATCCAAAGCTGTTCACAAAGCCTTTCTTGGACGATTGGTACATCCTAATAGAAAGTGTGAATTCCTGCAGGGTACCTGTACGGCCGTGCGGTTCCATGCTTTGAAGCATGTAAATCCCCACCTCCAAAGAATGGCACGGCAGGGAGAAAGTAGACGGGACCCATGGGAAGGGGCGCCCAAGCTGATTGGATATCCTGATACAGGTAGTCCCAGGTACACCGGCTGCTGCACTCTCTACATTCTGCCAGACGTTCTTGCTTAGACTGTGCATGCATTGTCTGAACAAGAACGTCAGCAGGAAACACAGAGCGTGCAGCAGTCCCTTTGCGTTGACTGCCTGGCACAAGGATTCCCAGTCGTGTGGTGTGTACGTTGATCATACGAAACGACTCTCCTCTGGGGAACGCCTCTTCCCGAATGGAAAGCGACAGCATGTGGTATGCACACAGTCCAAGCAAGAACGGCTCCTGAGGGGACCCTCATGATCTACATCGCAGGATACAAAGTTGTATTCTGTGATGTAGGTCATGAAGGACTCCCCGTTGATTCGACCAATGATCAGATGCGCACCAAGTCGCAAGTGTGGAGTCCACACCTTGGGATAATCAGTGCCGAGATGACTATTGGCACAGTTGCATCGTTGATACTCAGATGCAGAATGCACCAAAGCAGCGCTCTTTCGTCACCTTAACAGATGTTGTCGCTCCGAATCCCATGAAGGGACGTTCTGTACAATCATCTCCGACCTTTGGTGATGGGCTCACACACACCTTGTGGCCCCTGGTGGTGTCCTGGCGTTGTGCTTCTAAGTCCACAAACCGGGCTTATAACAGTAACAAATTGCAATTCTCGTTGATGTGCTTTTGGCACAGCTGCCCAATTTGCAGAGCCCAACGCTGCATTGAACTGACAGCCTGCGCCATCGCTAACGATCCATACTCGAAACAATTCAGTTCAGTATTGAAAGCACTACCATCATCAGCAATATCATTTGAACTGTCTACACCAGGACGCACCCAAGTACAGCATGAGATATCTGTCATATGCCATGCGTTTGGATGCATCATTCGGCGACATACGCACGCCTCAGGCGGCAATTACCTCTTCGCTAGGGCTGCCTTCGCTGGGGCAACTTGAGAGTGGACGATGCGGAAGGCGAGTGACCAAGCTTCCGTCATTCTGCTCTTGGTACGTTGGCCACTGGCCTGCTACTCGGCTTGATCCCGAGGATGCTGTTCTCAAGGAGCCGATTTTTTGGGGATGAAGTGAGACTCATTGTTTTCGTGGGTCAGTGGTGCCGTTGACCGTAAAGAATTACAATTTGCGTTGGGAAGATTGTCGTTTTCGCGAACAGAATTTTGGCGCCTCGTAAGAATTTCTCTTCGACGTTGCAGTTCAAAACTCAATCAGAAGATGCAAATTTCTTCCCGATGCATGGTCAAAAGATCTAAGTGATGAAATTCAACGAAACGGCAAGGAAAGATCCGAAATTCTTGTAAAGGTGGGTTTGCAACGCTGCGACTTCATGTTTCAATTTGCAGTGGCGGCTCTCCATACAATGTCGTGAAAATTAGCCATACTTGACATATTAGCAATTTCTATTAATGTAAATGGCCGGTTCAAGAAGTGGGTCGAAGTTCTCCGTATTCACAATTATGTCTCTTGATATTTTGTATTCATCGTGTTTCTTGTACACATACCCCGCATATGACATCTTAACGTAATGGTGCAGTACTTTGCATTTTTCAAACTTTGGTATCTGCTCCGCGGCAGTTTGGGAATGTTGGTGTCTGAGCCCATCCATGTGCAACAAGGTTGCAGCTTTCAATCGCATTTCTGGTCCTGCAGGGCATCGAAAAGGACATTGGCGAAGATAGTTTACATGATACATTCGAGATATTTGGCCAGGTCGTCAGGACCAGGGTTGAAAGGAATCAAGATGGTTCCTCTAGAAGATACGGGTACGTACAGTACGAAAATGATGAAGCCGCGACTGAAGCCACCAAAGGGTCCGATGGCATGCTGTTGAAGGGTCGCGCCATCAGCGTACAACAACACAAACCGAGAGATGGCAGGGGCGGGTGCAGGGCCACCTGCACTAAGATGTGCGTTGGGAACATCCCGGAGAAAATGCAGACAACAGAAGATCTGGAAACAATGTTGGCAGAGCTTAGAGAATTCAGGAGCTCTTTGTTGCCAAGGGCGAGGGTCTTTCGGTGTTCCAACAGAACTGTAACGCATCTTGCTGTCCTGAAGAACCGCCAACCGGTAAATTCCGTCAGAATGCGACATTGCTAGAACAGTAATCAAAATGCAACATATGATTTGCCTGGCATACCTGATATCCAGCAATCACAGGCAGTGCCACAGTGCGCCAGCTACGCAGATCACAGTCGCATCATCGATGTTTCTTTCAACGGCGCAAAGGGTAGTATGCTGCTGTGTATTCCACCTTTCCGCATTGTGAAATTCCAGCGTTGCAACTTTGATCCACAGCTTATTTGACTGATCGTCATTTTTTCTGCGCTCGGCATTGGGGCAACTGCCGGAGCCGCGACTCCACCCAGTCCTTGTGCAGCAAATGCCATTTCTGCCACATCGACTCACACATCCAAGGCCGCCAAATGCATTGAATAGCCCAGCGACCCTTGCTACGCTGCTGGGACCATTCTGGCCGCGACATAGGTTACTTTCAGATGGCTTTGGCTGCCATGCAGTCAACCCAACCCCATGTGGTTGGCGGCAAATTCTTTCCCTCTTGGATCCATCCAACATGTTAGTTCTTGGCTGCTGCGCATTGTTTTGGCTCTTACGGTTTTTGTAAATTTTTCGGGTAAATCGCCAAACATTATGATGCCGAAAGTTGAATATTCTACAGGAGTGGTGTTGGAAAGATGCGAGCGGTCCAGCAACGGTGCCTGTGCTGATGTGCAGGACAACGCTCGTTGTCCTACACGTACAACCCATTTCGGTGACTGCCTTTGCGAACTAGAGGCTGTCGATGTATTCGCAAACCCAAAGCCTTTCAGGCTTCCCTCGCAAGGGAAACCTGTAGGGCTTGGGGCTTGTCAATTCTTCGACAGCCTCTAGTTTGCAAAAGCAATTGCAAAAATCGATGGGAAGCGGATTGAGGCGATTCATCTTTATGTGGCTGCCGCCCATAAAAAGGCGGAAAGAAAGGCAGCCCTTGTAAAAAGGTAGCTATTACCAGCGGTCTCTGTGTGCTGTTGAATTACGCATTCGGCATGTGGTGCTAGAATGCCTCCCGCTAGAAGCTACTCAATCGACGATGATGACAGCAGCATTGAAAATATTGACATGAACATTGAAATCAGAATCGGACTTTGCAGCGACTGCAGCGACACGAGATTCCAATTAGATACAGCCGCTGGATCTGAATCTTGTACGATAGGATTAATGGCGCTGCAATGAGCATTGGAATTTTGAAAATCTCCCCCCCCACCCCACCCCACCACCGTGTGGCGCCCTGGCGCTGGGGCTTCAATTCAGCAAACCTTGCAAAGGCAACAAAAGTGGTTGCGGCTTGCCAGGTTTGCTGAATTGAAGCCCCAGCTCCAGGACGCCACATGGAGGCGAAACGTCTGGAACTGTGTGACAAAATTTGCCCCCAACACTTCAGGACGAAGGCATTGAACGGCTATTCAAAAGATTCGGAGCCATTGCTTCGGTCAAGGTGAGGCGATATCTTTCCTTCGTTTTGCCAATAGATTTTGAGGTTCAACAGTGCAATTGCGCCAGCTAGCTAGTTGGTATACCATGGTATACCATCATTACTGATAGGAGGTCATCCAACTCTCCAAATGCGTGTTTTTTTTGGCAATACAATTGTCTTGACGAGGATGCAGTTGTATCAGTCTTGAAACAACCATTAGTGGAGGTGCCCCAATTTACCTGTATACCCCAATGCATCCAAAGTGCCTTAATTGCGGT